ATAGCTTGGACTCATTGCCGTACTCATAGGGCCAGATGATGGTGACGTAGGGGAATACGAGGGCGACAACGCGCTCCCTAAAAGGGAAGATGACGAGCCACGATATAAATTGTCTTCCTTACCTGGTGTCATGGGACCAGCCTCCGAGAAGGGGGAGAAGGGCGTCATACCCCCACCCACAGAGGCCGAGGGTGTGAACTCCGACATAGCCGAGGGAGAGAACGGCGACATGAGGGCCTAGAAAGGAATATGATAGGAATAGAGATAAGGATGGAGGCAACCCTTACCGATCCTGGGGACTGTGCGTAGGAGGTAGGGCTGAAGGCCGCACCAGGTGACATGACATCGTACATCCCCGAGGTCATCATACCGGAAGTAGGCGAGAGCATACCTCCATCGTAACTGAATGGAGATGACTCTGATATCAACAGCCTCAAATCGAGACCGTCCTACCCCCCACTCCACTCCCCTGCCATCGGGCTAGTTATGTTACCAAACGCCACATCAGCAGCATCACGAGGAGTCGAGTCACCGACGGCCATGTCTCCTACACTCATTGATCATGACACTATCCCAACGAGGGAGCCCCTACCTGTGTCCTTAGCTGCCTCTCGCAGTACCAAGTCGTCTTCTGGTAGCACCGGCCTGGCGTCCACCAACTTGTCCGTGTCGATCAACAACTCACACTCAGCCGTTCCTAACACACGGTCAACTACATTTGTCATTATATGAAAATCCTGAGGATTTTTTTTGCGAAATTCTTGTTGGTTTCTGTACATTTCTATTCGAATTCCTAAGAAAACTCCTAGAGCTCAGCTGAGGAAAGCAATTATATATTCCTTCAACAGTGTTTCCCACCTATAGGTGCCAGTTGTCCAAGCATGATGTTCTCACTAACACCCCGCATATGGTCGGTCTCAGCGTAACATGCAGCATCCATGAGCATCTCAACCATCTCCTCGAAAGAACCTACCAAGCCATGTACAAACAAGGAAGTACTATCGCCCCTTACTCCTCATCAAAGGCCCTCGCTCCACACGATTAATACCGTGTCTTGTGATCGACATCAGATGTCCCTTCTGGCACATCGTATCGCACAGTACCGACATATGTCGATAGTTAACATAACTGAACAGTAGAGGGGCATGAGGGGACATCTTGAAATTTAAAACTTACGAGCCATCGAAACTGATCACTTGTCGCAACTCATTGAGTAAAGCCTTCCTACAGGCTTCGATACCCAACACATTGAGGATCTCCACGATGTCATTGGAGAAGGTACGAGTACTGTCTACTGCTTCCATGGTCAACACCTACGAGATTAGGTCGCAGGTTCGATCCCGGCACCATGCATTATTTACCTGCTCTAAATTGCAGCCATCAGTATCCAAAACCCACTCCCTGCTACGAGCCTACAAAGAACAGCCATCCAGCCCCGACCTCAGCCGCATACAAGTGCCTACGAATGTGCCCACATCACTGCTATATTGAACCCTATTATCTTGTCTCATGTAGCACTTAGTGACACCAGGTATACCTTACCAACAGCAGCAGTGTAGACAACGACAAGGGAAGTGAATACTATTTACCCTTCAGAGTAAGTCCGAGAGTAGAGAGCCTTCCACCTTCTTGAGCAGACGGAAATCCTCTTCCCCATCATAATCTGCCACCACACCTCATACTCCTACAGAGTGCACAACCTACCTTCATCCTCCTCGTCCTCCTTCATCTCAGAGACCCGTCCTCCGCGGTCTATGAAACACGATCATTGTAGAGTAGCAGTGATAGTGACAGTACTACCT